ATCAGTAGAAGAACAGGCCGGAAAAAGGTTCACGGCCGCCCACCATGCACGGCGGGACCGCCGTCTCCGTTGTCGCGGCCGACGACGGCGCCGCAGCGGTCTCCATCGTCGGCGAACGCGCGCAGAGCCGCGGCCCAATACCCAGCAAAAAGACGCGTTGTCCGCAGCAGGGAGGGCTGGACCGATAAGAACTGGGCTATCGGGCCCAGTGAATCTCCGCGAGCCCAGCTCCATGCATTGATCCGTTTGTTCTTTTAGCCCGCATATAATATTCCACGCGTTTTGTTTTAGTCCCGTACGGCTTGTGAAAGGTTTTGATCGCGGCCTCAAAAGCTGTAACCTGGACTGTTGTGTCACCATGAGGCAATCATGGTAAGCTACCATCAAACTATGACCATGAAAATTGCAATGGAAAAGTCAAGTCAAAAACCATAGAACGAGAAAATTGCAATGGTAAGTCAAAAACGTTGAACGAGAAGCACACTACATGTTGTGCTCGCCAAGCTTTTTGTAATTCCTTTCTTTTTTTACATTCATTTTCATTGGAGATTGGAGTCGTTGAGCATGTTACCACTTACCAGCACTTTCAACCACCGTCATATCATTGCTTTTTATCCATACTAGTAGAAATGTGCGTGCGACACACACGTGTTTATAAAAATAAAAATATTTATACTTTGCAATGATGGAAAAAAATAAAATTTTAAAAAGTTGGATTATTTGTTTTAACAGCTAATAAAAAGATAAAATTGCATTTATAAATGAAAGAAACAAAATATTGTTCTTATATAAAAGAATTAACCCTACAAAGAGGATCAACAGAGTAGCATTCAATGGCTCAATCTGGCCATTCTTGCTCGTAGCTCTTCATCTAATTCAAAAATAAATAAATTCAGTGTAGCCAAAATTTAAATTTAAATATCTATTGAATCACAAACCAATCATATCTGATTTAAAACGGCAACACACCTATCAAACATCAGGTGCTCGTGCATGCATGACCAAGAAAAAAGAAGCATGCTAGAGTTTGTCAGACCATAAGTTCAGGGTACATCCTCTTTATTACCCTCCTTCCTACACTACCAGAATCTGGAATTATCTTGACGGCCAAAGATTTCCTTGAGTGCCAAAATCAAACCACCAAGGAAAATATAGTTTCTTTGGTTGTGGACATCGACCTCCAAGGAAATATATATTCCTCGGAGGTTGAAGTAAACTGCCAAGGAATATGGGTATTTCCTTGGCAGTTTCTAAGAACCTCCAATGAAATTACTCATTTTCTTGAGTGTTATTGTAAACAGCCTGTTTTCTTGAGTGTTGTTCCTAACCACCAAGAAAAATACCTATTTCCTTGGGTGTTATTCTAAACCGTCAAGTAAATTATCATTTCCTTAGGGGTTATTGAATTTTATTGGAGGTTGGCAGCCAAGGAAATGCTTATAAATATTTTGACGACTCTGATTGAAAAAAAACAATAATATCTTAAAGGTGTCTGAAAATCCTAAAATTTGGCATGAGATCATAATAGGGTTGTATTATCTTGCCATAAAATTTTCAAATCATATTAACAAAGTTGGACTATATATTATTCACAAATGATATGTGTGAGAGATGTATCCATTTGTGAACAATGTATAGTACCACTTTGTTTAAATCATTTGTTTTTTTATGCAAAGATTATAAACCAAACCATGTTGTCATGCAAGTTTGTAGAATTTTATAACAAAGTTTAGATATTATTATAATTATCTTATGGTAATTTAGAGATACAACCATGAATTATCCTTAGCAAACAAATAAGTGTTTTTTGCCTAACTCCAATAATTAGTATTAAAGATCTCCAACTGTGCCTTTGCCTCGGGCATACATGAAAACTAGAGCTCGGGGTGGATGTTTTAATTTTTCTGTTTTTATGAACAAGTGCTTCCATAAATTTCTCTGTCAATATAATGGTTGGGGACAATAATAAAATGTCTATATGCATGTCATCATGTGTCAATCGAATATAGTAACTAGAATATTAGAATATATTGATTACTACAATTATTTTTTTATTGTCAGTATAGATTTTCTTGGGGCCAGACCTCAAGGAAATCAGAATTAACTTGGCGGTTAACGACAGCCAAGGAAAACTATAATTTCCTTGGAGGTGAAGAGGAGCCAAGGAAACAACAATTACCTTGATGGTCTAGGGGGTTTCCTTGGTGGTTGCTGACCCTCAAGAAAATTAATTTACTTGGCGGCTGTTAACCCTTAAGAAAACTACTTTTCTTGACGGTTGCAATATTTCCTTGGCCTTTTGGCAAATTAAGTCTGGTCGTAGTTTTCTTGGAGGGCAGCCTCCAAGGAAATCATCCTTAAGTGCCAAGACCACCAAGGAAACTAATTTCCCTTGTCTTCTATTCTTAAGTGCGTTTGCTTGACGGTTTCTGGCCAATGATCATTTCCTTGGTGGTTTAACCCCTTTGCTTGGCGGTTTTTTGGCACTCATGGCAATTCGGGATTGTGGTAGTGCTAGCCATATTTTTTTCACAAAAAAGTAATTAAATATACATGTTTGCTACTGGATCAAGGACAGATGTAATCATGTAGAACCCATTTGCCATCCTCCTCTAAAACACTGGTTCTTATATATCGATGCTACAAAATAAATAAATAAATAAAGGCTCTTTTTTGTTTGGAGCTCACGCCACCTCTAAATAGCATCGCCCATTACAAGAAAGTTTAGGCTATAGGGAATGTGGAAAATAATTTATTGCCTACATTACCTCGGTAAATGCAACTTATATGTTAATTACTTAATTCACCCCTAAAGTAGAAGTATAATGCGTGCTCTTTCCAATAGGATAGCTCTTGTTGCCAAAAGAGCAAAACTTAGCAATAATTTAGCTAGCCAAAGGTGTTTCACTCTACTGCTTGACTTATATATATCTGAAAAACAATATTAGCATGCAGTTTTGGGAACTGAATTTGGAGCGGTTTCATATATATTAACATGCAATTAGCTCAAGATGAAATTATAAAGCTTACTACTCTTTTCAATGAGGTAACTCTTGCTGACAAAATATCATTAAGCAGTCACTAATTACCTTACAGAAATGACGTAGTTAAAACTAATTACCTTACGACTGAAATGGTCCGGCAGTTTTTGTTGCCGCAACACTGCGCCACTGCCGTCGTCGTCTTATTTGTGCTTACAGACTTCCTACCACTGAATGAAACATCGATCTGCAGCATCCATTTAAACCCCATGTTTTTGGTTTACATCTGTGTAAACCCCAAGAGGCAAGGACAATTGAGAAGAAAAAAAAAGCTATGAACAACCCTACCCGGAGGGCCGGAGGCTACAGAGGAGTCAGGATCAGGAGAGAAATACCCGAAGATGGTGTTGGCGGGTTCAGGGCGGCCTAATTCACGGCCGCGCGTCGCCGACGAACCTCTCGACGCTGGTGAACGTGATGCATGAAGGCGTGAGGAGGCTGCACTGGTCGTTGGCGACGACCTCGCCATGCATGGTTGGCCCACCAGGGCCGCCACACGGGAGTACGTCGTCCCGACTCCCGAGGCCCATGAGTGTCCACGATCTGCCAAACGGCGAGCGCCCGGCTGGGCGGCTGGCACATGGCGAGCGGAGGAGCCTGGATCAAGATCGTCTCCGGCGGCACGTGCGTTGATCCTGCGAGCTTGCGGGATCGATCGAGACGACGATGTCCATCGGTGGCGGCACGTACTGAACACGTTCGGCGGCTGTCCAAGTCGTAGATGCGATTGAAGTTCCCGCAAGCGATGGAATAGGAAACGGGGGGTCGGTTGATGGCGGTTGCATTGGTTGATGACCAAAGTCGTAGATGGCGTGCATGATCTTGGGAAGGAAGAAGGATCGGTGCGTGATGAGGGAGAGAGAGAAGGAAAGGTTGTTGCGTGATTGCCGGCGGGTGTGCAGCGTAAGGTGAGAAAAAACAACGCTAGCTAGGCTGGGCAACGGAGGAGAGTCAGACACACGTTTGTAAAGGAAACGCATAACCGAAGTTGTCACTCGTCAGTTAGGGATCCTAGGCAGGATCCAATCCAACTGGATCCTAGTAGGACCATGATCCTATTCGACTTAGCAAAATATACATTTCTATAACTATGATGAAATTCAACGCTAATTTAATATTTATCTTGACAAAAAAATAGTTGATTTTTTTGTAAATCATAGAGGACTTAGTAACATTATTCTCAGTCCACACCGTTATTTCAAATAATATTTTATCACGTTGCAATCGTGTCTATGAGATCCCATACATCATTTTTCATATTAATATATTAGAATATGCTTATTAGAACCTTTTGTACAAATTGCTTAAGATATTAATATTTTTTCTAAGATCAAAAGGCTAATAAGTCACTCTGTTACAAACTATAAGTTATTGTAACTTTTCTAGATACATGTTAAAAGCTATGTATCTAGACATAATATTAATTTAGATACATAACAGAAGCTATGTACCAAGAAAAGTAAGAACAAATTATAATTTGGAATGGAGAGAGTAGATCTCTAAGGATCATGTCGAGCTCTCACACAGGATCATGATAGAGTCGGATAAAAACCACTTCAGCTTTATCGTAAAATTCTACGATCTAATCAGTATCCTGAGAACTTTTCTTACAAACTCATCTTTAAGGCAATTGTTGTTTGGCGACAATTGGTTGTACATTTCCTGTAGCAGCTCAGAGCAACTCCAAGAGTCTCTCTTAATTCTTCCTTATTGATAGGAATAGACAATTTGGTTAAAAAATGCCTCTAACAACTTCTTTAAACGATCTCCAAATATCGTCATCCTCTATTCTGGATTCCTTGCTAACTAAAAATGAGAGCAATATTAACTCTCTAAAGTGCGCACAAAATATAGAAAATTTGTTGGAGATTAGAAAGATATAGAGAACGATTTTTATTAAAATAACTCTTCAAATGATGATTTAGAGAGTGGGTTTAAGAAAGTCTCTTCAAGTTGTTGTCATAGCTGAAGACGGGGATTGACTTGCGCCGACTGACTTAGAACACTAGAACAAGCCTTTCTATTGGGCACAATCAAGGCAATGCTTCTTCCCATTCGTTTCTGATTTATTAGTGCAAAATCTACTATGCCACCAGTCGCCTGGAGAGTAGATGGTGCGACACTGCTACCCATGAGCCCAAGGCCCTCATGCCCTCCACTGCCGCTAACATCGGAGACGATCAACTCAACAACATTAGGGTTTGGGGTTATAACTCAGCAATGCATACATCAACTCAACAGTTAAGCAATAAGGCCGAAGATATGTTTGTCAAGCATACAAATACTACTCAAATGAAGCAAGTTCACGGCAGTGCACTTTCTTCAAGGATAGCACAATTGGACAAGGAATCAACAACGTTAGTACTAATAGCAAGAGATATCCATGGACATGGACTCTGTTTCAAAGGCATCACTTAGGCATTCAGGCATACCTAGCTGTCATGTGGGGCCACGCCTATACAAGGAAACGGCGCGCCCGGGATGGCTGCAGAGCCACTGAGGATCTAGGCGCGGTCACCATGCAGGCAGGCGCGCCAGCTGAGGATATGGCGTGATCACCCAGCATGCAGGTCAGGAAGAAATGGCAAGTAGATAGAAGGAAATAATAGCCGATCAACGCCTTAGAATTAGGAGCAATTAGCTCCAATTTGTAGTGCCGAATGGCCTATATATGAGAGTCATCAGGATGAATAAGAATCAAGCAAGAATTATTACCTAATCTCTCTTCTTCTTCCTCCAAACCAATTGGAGCTGAGGGGCAAAACCTCGCCCAGCTACCACGGGTCGCGGCTACGAACTCCGTAGCCGGGGTCCTGCTAGTCTCGGACCTGACGTCCTTGACATAGCTCACCTTTGGGACACCTAGTCCCCTTTGAAACCATGTACATGAAGTCGAATCAACCTAGACATAGATTATCAAGGCCTAAAAGGAATTGGACAATCTTTTTTACAGCTTACAAGAGGACTTCATAATCTTGAGAACTCTATGGTCAACCACTTCACACTTGATCTTGACTATCTTAAGGTGTTCTGAAATTGCAGTTGATCTCTTCATCGAACTGACGCGTAGTTTGATTTCCACTTTATGTTTAAACCACTGCAGAGAACAACCGAGCATGATCAACTGTCAACTAATAACTCTACAAAGTAGCAGTTCAGCATTTGTAAAAGTGCATACCATGTTGTGGAGTTCAAAAGTAAGCTTCTCTAGAACAGGTGAGTGTTCAAAAATGCACGCTAGTGCATGGAAATCATCAGGCACATACCAGTAGCCATTCAGCAACAAGGTCTTTAGATTTGTAAACACAGGGCACCATCTCAAATCTCTTTTAAAAATAAACTGCACAAAGTGCAAACAACATAGATCAAATAATCAACACTCTGAACATATTTGATTCATAACCATAGTCGGCGGCGCATGCAAAAGAAAAAGAAGCAACATATATCAAATTTCAACTTGACGACACCTAATACAAAAAAAAGGGTTAAAGATGAAACTTTAAAGTAAAACTATACCACGTCAGATGCAGATTTCAACACCAAGCTCTTAGCCTCCGATAAGCCTCTTAGAAGCACACAGTTGATACTGCCATTAGCTGTGCTATCAGAACTATCACAAGATTCACAATCACAAGTCCAAAAGTAATTTGCATTAGTGCAGCGGTCCCTACACGCCCCTGTTATTTTGACAGATGCCTCAAGTAATGAGGGCATCCCCTCAACAATGGGAGTCCTCCCTCCAAAATGCTCAAGGCGCAGTGAGGCAACATTTGGGGTGTAAATGTTGATGCGAGAATCAGAGCTGCCTATGGAAAAAATGATGATAAGATGTTTCAGGGACTCGTACACAATCTTGTTGACCGATGACAACTCACAGTCCATGAGCTTTAGATGATCCAAGGATGGACAGTTTGTAAAGTTAAGTGTGGACCTGTACACCAGCGAGCTCCAGCCTCCTCAGGTGCTGGGAGATGAGAGGCAGGTTGTCTAGTGGAAGAAAGGGCTCATCCTGACTGCGTACAAACATAGAGAGGCTGAGAACATGAACTTTGCACATCACAACATGCTGGAACCAGAGGTTTACGTGGGACACATCATCATGGCTGCTGAGCTGAGCATTGAACGCGAAATAGCATTTCTCGAGGGGTGAGTCTCTGCAGAGGAGCAGCAGATGGTTCACCAAGCTCCGGAGAGCCTCCACAGACTCCGGTTGATCTGGGTCGACGGACCCCACCCACAGGCCCGTGGCGGATTTCCTGAGGTGGCGCCATCTACGGGCAAGGACACTAGTGCGGACGGCCTCCTCAGATGGCAAGAAGCTAAGGATGTGTTCAAGGACTCCATCAGGCAGGGATTCAATGCCCCTGCTACCACCAGCGGGCTGCAGCACCGCTCCCTTGGCCGTTTTCCCTTGAGGCATTTTGCCGAACAGGAACCGGGCCTTGGCACTGCAGGACAAGATACGGTCAGAAGAAGAGGATCAGTTATGCTGGGAGATTTACATTTTCACCATTATTAAGATTGGCACTCGTCCGAATATCACTCCTAGGATGACACTTACAACTTTACCAGATGAGAGAAGTTTTTGTTTTAGATTTACCACATTTGCGCATGTGACATGCCACGTCAGCTCGACACACTGGCGCCTAGTCAACATAGGTATGTGAAATGTCCTTGCTGCCCCTGCCTGGCTCTTCTCTCCCCCTCTCCGACAACCAGGTCCCGCAACTCCTATCGCTGCCAGGTGGACCCCACTCGTCAGCTTCGTCTTCCACCTCCAGCACCTAGACCCAACCAGTGGCCTCGGATCCGGATATTCCGCAGACACACATGAGTGCATGCCAGTGCCACCCACACACACCTTCATGTACCGTACTAGGAGTAGTACACTTTGCAATGTCAGGCTTGTCAGCAGCTCAGTTATGCTTTGGGAGTGAAGCACAGTGTCAAGTGTAGTGCTTGCTGTCTGGCGACTTGGCAGGTGGTCTGCTGCTGCTGCGATGCGAGCTCGTCATGGCGTGCGTGGGCGGCGTGCTGGCCGCGGACACGCAGGGCGCGGCGTTGCTGGCGTGGAAGCGCACGCTGCGGGGCGGCGCGGAGACGCTGGGGAACTGGAGGGACACCGACGCGTCGCCGTGCCGGTGGACGGGCGTGTCCTGCAACGCTGCGGGTCGGGTCACGGAGCTCAGCCTGCAGTTCATCGACCTGCACGGCGGCGTCCCGGCCGACCTGTCCGCCTCCGTCGTGGGCGCCATGCTGACGCGCCTCATGCTCACGGGCACCAACCTCACGGGCCCCATCCCGCCACGGCTCGGGGACCTGCCGGCGCTGGCGTACCTCGACCTCAGCAACAACGCTCATGGGGTCGATCCCGGCCGCCCTGTGCCGGCCCGGGAGCAGGCTCGAGAGCCTCTACCTCAACTCCAACCGCCTCCGGGTCCATCCCACCGCAGCTCGGCAAGCTCAGCAACCTCAAGAACCTGCTCATGTGCAATGTCCGGACACCGTTGCTGGAGCTGGAAGACGAAGCTGACGAGTGGGGGTCACCTGGTAGTGACAGGAGCTGCAGGACCCGGCTGTCAGAGAGGGAGAGAGGAGCAAGGCAGGGGTAGCAAGGACATTTCACGTGCCCATGCTGACTAGGCACCAACGTGTCGAGCCGGCATGGCATGCCACGTGCACAAACGTGGTAAATCTAAAACTAAAACTTCTCTCGTCTATTAAAGTCGTAGGTGCCATGCTAACAGTGATATTCGGACAAGTGCCAATCTTAATAATGGTAAAAATGTAAATCTCCCAGTTATGTTGAGGGCAAACAGACGAGAGGTGGCGAGGGAGACGGAGACCTGGATGGAAGGCTGGTGCCGGCCTCACCTCACTGTCGGCGGCAGCACTGGTCTCGCAGACAGCCCATGTCCTTGGTCGTTCACGCACTGGCCTCTGGCCGGCTGGGGCAGGCCGTCACCCGCCTCCGCTTTGCTGGCTGGCCGCCCTGCGCCCGGACCGGCTGGCACCCGGCCGTCTGGTAGCCGGTCGCCTGCACGGCTGGACGCCGACGGCCCTGACCGCGCCACGCCCCAGCTCAGCCTGATGCCCGCGCCGGTGCCGCTCCCTCGCTCCTGCTCTTCTGCTCGCTCGCCCCGCTAGCCCTCTGTCCGGTGAGTAGTGGCCGCTAGGGTTTGGATTCGGCCGATTCGGGAGGATTGGGGATTTTAGGCATCGGAGAACTTCGCGAATTGGTTACGCACTTCGGCACTTGTGGAGAAATAGGCCCAATTAGGAAAACACTCGCTGTCCACTTGTGCGCTGGCCCAAAGTTGCGATTTGTTCATCATTTTTACAGGCACCCACGAGCACACCGGTGCCAATTGCTGAACAAGCTCGGCGACGGTAGAAAACGGACGTGAAAAATCCCGTTTCAACCCAGCCCGTTTTCTATTTTGTTCCGCCCGTTTCCGTATTTGTGGGATCCCGTTTCTGTATTTACAAAACGGGAGAGAGGTTCGCTCATTTCTGTGGAATCCCGCTTTTGTCCGAAATTGACCCATATTTATTCCGTTTTTCATCATATTTTCAATCTATGTGAGATATGCCTACAAATTGATATGGTTGTAAACCTATTAATCACAAATTATGTTAGCATGTTAACATATGGCATGCTAGTTAATATTGGACCGATAACTTCGTACGTGTATACTGTCTTGTGACTTCGTTCATGTATACTCGAGAAAATTTGATCATGTTATTCTAACTCAATTTTTCGGCTCTTCATCTGTATTTGTCAGTTTCCGTCTTTCCATATATCTCCATCCGTTTTTATCCCGTTTCCGCTAAAAATATAGAAACGGAAACGGTAGAGGAGCTTTTTGCCCGTTTCCATCCGATTTCATCCCTATAGGGGACTCTAGTAGACATGGCAATAAGTATCCCAAACCCAAGTACCTGATGGGTTTTACCCAATAAAGAGTTGGGTATGGATGATTTTCCTACCCACAGGTACGTTAATGGGTGGAATCCTCTACCCATAGGGTAAGGTAGGTGCGGGTGTGGATGTTGGTATATATTACCCATACCCGTCTACCTATAGGTAATAAATACATGTATATACAACTAGTCCCCTACTAAATTTGACCCATATAGTCCAAGTATTTGGTCCAAGCCTAACAACATGTTGATATACATAATGGTCGACAAACATATAACCCTAGCTCTCATTTCTCCCTCCCAATCTCCCAGCCGCCACAAACTATACACTCGCATCTCACCCCTCCACCGCTCAAACAGCCTCCAATTCATCTATCTCTTTCTCCTCTACAAGACCAGTGCTTCCCCCCTCGCCGTGCCATGTTGCAGGAGCAGCTATATCTGTGCTGAGCCAAGCACCGTGCTTGGTAGAGGTGTCAACTTCGAGTGCCTGCCGGTTCCTCCCCAATGAACACTGCAGCTTTGCGCCAAGTCTACATGGCCACCTCTGCACAGAATCAAGGTCGAGGGCTCACGAAATCGGGGTCGAGGACTCAAAGCATCACACATGGTGATGCAGTTGTAGCAGCACACAACATCGACACCCACTGCCTACATGCTCGCACAGTACCGCCGCACGGGTGTGAAGTCAAGTGCGGGTTACCCTGTCGGGTAGCATTATCTGTGTGGATGCGGGTATGGTGATATTTCCTACTCGCATGTAGGGACGGGTAACCCGACGAATGAAATTTCACTTATTGGGTACGAGTATGAGATAACATTATCTGTCGGGTACTTACCTATTGCCATCCCTAGACTCCAGACCCCTCACCCGTCCACCCATACACACACCACCCACCTTGGTTGCTAACTTTTTTTTTATTTTTAAAACCTTTTTTCAAAAGAAATTTACATTTACACCCTGGTTGCTAACTTTGATAAATATGATCCGTTCCCATTCTTAGTTGTGCTTCATGTGTTGTGGCTCTAGCCAATGGCGTAGGGAGAGGATGATTGGAACCATCTAGGACGGTCTCAATCGATGGGGACTATATGGGCAAGGGTGGTTTGGTCATTTCAGGTGGCCTGAGAAATGAAAAAAGAGGAAGTCTAAACAAAATAATTCGCAGCCACAAGGTTGAATTTCTTTTTTTGATCTCACACAAGGTTGAATTTCTAATGACGAGCGAATTGAATGTTAAAAGTGGTGGCGTGTGCATTTGATGTTAAATATCGTAATTTCTATGCTGAGGCATGTAGCGTGAGGAGCGTGTGTTTTATGTGTGGAAAAAAATTGGGTGGAGGCTGGCTGTAGCGTCGCCTCGGTGCAGGCCCAGCGCGGATGATAGGCACGTGTCCAAGCACTTCATCGCACGGTCAGGTGAGGTTCGGCTCGTCCGCTGCTACTTTCCCTCGGCACATTGGCTCCGCTGCAAAGGCTACGGCTCGGCTTGCCCACGCTGCAGCGCTACGACCGCGTCACCGCCGCCGCGCCGCTACGGGGCCGAGGCGCACGCGGCGCGCACCATGGCGCTGCAGGACCGCATCTCCGAGGAGGCAAGGGAGGGTGAGGTCAGTCACGTTACCCCTGCAGTGCCCTACGAGCCGTCACCGCCGATGCGCGCGCCATGGTGCTGCTGGACAGCGTCTCTGGGGAGGCAATGGAGGGCGAAGGTCAGCCGCGTTCCCCTTGGGTCGTCCATCTGCCGGTGGCGATGCCGGGCGAAGGTCCTCGTGCGAGCAAGGATCGGTGCGCCCGAAGCCCACCACATGCTCGATGGAATGCCAGTGACAGACTTAGAACTCTGTATAAGACTGCAGTTTCATGATTGTATCCCTTCTTTGTAGGCTGAGAGTTTGTACTGATTATAGTAAACTCAGGTCCAGGACTGCAGTCAAATGCATGTCATGTGGATGTTTCTTTTGAAATGGATAAGGTCTTTTTTCTTAGCAGAAAAGGATAAGCAGCTCATTGTCTGCAATGACCTTGTATTCAGTAAGTATTGCTATATTTGAAATCGAACAGAGAGGATGTTCTCAAACACATCATCTAGATGTTCCGTTTAGTGTAGAAATTCAAACAGTTGCATTGACAAGACCAAACCGTTGATGACTGAATGTTTGTATGCCAAAATAAAATAAACTGCATTCAAACAGGATGCAGTTAAGTCTTACAGAGTGCTATTAATTCAAACTGGAATTAAAATGATACAATTCACAGACCAAAAATGAGTATTATTCATTGAAATGTAACTTTCTAGAATATTTGGACAATGTGGCATCTTGTTCAACTCCAAGCAGAAGACCAGTGAGTCCACCATGGAAGAAAGGAGCTGAAATGTTCGAAGATGACCCATGGCGGTCGGCTGCTGCCGTGAGGCGAAGGCTGGATCATCCTCCATGTATTGCAGCGGCGAGGCGTGGCGTACGTGCGCCGCAGATCGGATTGCCGGCGAGAATTTTTTTTATTTTTAACACTTTTTTAAACTAATTTTAAATCTAACATTGTTTTATTTTTTTTTTCCAAAACTAACACTTTTGGCCGCGCCTATTGCCATGGCGCGGCAAAACGCCTGTGCCGCGGCATGCATGGTGACGCGGCGGGAGGATGACGTGGCGTCATCGTGGCAGGGTCTGCCACGCCACCCATCTTGGCGCTGTTGTGACGCGCCAGCGCTGGTGGCGCGTTAAGGCCTAGTAAAAGCCCGCGACGCCCTTACTGCGCCTGCCCTCGCCCTCGACCCCAACGCACGCCGCCGCCGCCTACGCCACCACCATTGGCTCAGCCCAGTGCCGCCGCCGCCGCCGCCGACCGCCAACGTGGCCGCCGCCGCGTCGCCTGCACCAGGCGCCGCCGCCGTCGACCGGGGCAGCGCAGTCCTGGCATGGACATATCGACAGCTATGCGTTGCCTGTCGTCGCACCTCAGGGTATGCGAACCTTGGGGGTTGCTCCTACCTACTCCAGGTTTGGTGTTTGGAACGATGGCCCATTGGGAGGCCCCTTGTTACTGGTTTCCCTGTAAGTACTTCGGTTCACTATATTCTTCGCGGCAGTTACATATGATGAAATTATTAATGGCTAATTCATTATCGTGTTCAATGTAGCATTGGAACGGGCAGGATACACTGCCTATAGCTCTGGATATCTAGACGCAAGCAGAGTTAGTTAGAGGGAATGCGAGGAGCAAGTACAGAGAGTACACGGACTGTCTCGACGTCCTGACACAGCACCAGGTTATGCTCTCTTTACTATCATACATGTGTCTTGTTCGATGTACACTATATCACAACCTAACTCAATCACGAAATATTCAGGTGCATTGGTGTCCTTGGGATGCTGCGGAGCTCCAGGATTATCTGAGTCCTGTCACTAGGGATGAGTCAGACGAGTATCGCTGCAACGTCCCTCTTATTTTCTTCCACGTGGTTGAGATTCACTTGCCCATCAGGGTTTACAGGCAGTTTGGAAGAATGATAGGCTACCCACCACCGCTTTACTCCACCAACCAAGAATTGCACGGGTGCGTTATCGATTAATAACAAAGTTACAATTCAGAGGTGTGTATGGTACAACTAACAATCGTTTTATTGCAGGTATGACCGCAGGAAGAGGTACAAGACCAAGGATTGGCGCGTGACAAACAACGCGTACATCTAGTTGTGGCAGATCAGGGACCGGCAGCCGGTCGATGCGGGTCCCCCACACGACCAGCACACCTTCGACGAGTACCTGCGGTGGCTTCACAGGTCTACGAGGACACATATCAAGCCCTCGTACACTAAGGAAGCGATTGACGAGGACGACGAGGAAGATGTGATCGAAGATGTGTACGACGTTGCCACTATGGACGACACACAACTACAGAGAGCCCCGATTCAAAGATACGTGGTAAGATACTCGAATGGTACAATTTGTTATCCATTTGGTATTAAGTATGTCTACTAAAACTATCCAACCACGTTTCTGTACCCAGGCGACACAATTATCAAGGCTGTCCAACGAAGCAACGTTTCAGCTACACGAGTCTAGAGGGCAGGGGCCAGGCGTTCTTTAGGCTTTTGTGGAGGTAAACATAAACTTGTCCATTCCGAAAATATTTCTTTAGTGTATATGCGTTTGGGAAATACACTAACTTTAACGTCTATTCATGCAGAAGGTGAAGCGGAGCTACAGGAAGCTAGCACAGAAGTTGAGCTGCATGGACACTCCTTGGGTGGAACCCAATTACTCGACGCGGTAAGGTGCCATGTCTTCTGGCTCTTTGAGGACACCAGCCGGCTCTTCTCAGCCGGTGACAGGTGCCGCTTCCGCTGCGCGTACACCACCACATTATAGCGCTGGGAAGGACCCTGCAAATGAGGACGACGACGACGACGACCCCCGGGCTTCCGCGTACATCACCACCAGCGGGACCCTTGGTAGCAAGACGAGATCGGCATGTCTTAGCTAGGTGGTGTCCCGCTTGATACCCAAGGAGTCTCATAAGTAGTAACAAAGGTAATTTCTTTAAATACGTAGGCTCCATGAATTAACGATCATAAAGATTATAAGTAATCGTGCATATCATATACTTGCAGGGTACGAGCCGTACGCACCGGCAACGCGACCACACCGACGTTGGCTACACTCCCAATGTGTTGCCTATAAATCCGAATATACATAGGCGTCCGTGGGATCTTTATACTTCTGGGACTTAGTTGGTTATGTCGAACTTATGTCGAACAAATATTGTCGTTCGAAACTTGCAGACTCATGAACCAATGAAAATGTTATGTGGCAACTTGTCAACTTGCGCACGAACTCCATTTATTTGCTTCATATTCTTTCCAATGCGTCGCGGCAGCACTGCCAGCGAGATTAAATAGCAACTAGTTCTGGAACCGGCAGTCCCAGCGTATCTTGCCGCCGGTGGCCGGCTTCTTGACCCCGATGCTCCCGAGCTTGGTCATCGCCGCCACGAAATCGCTGAAGAAGGCACCCTGACTGGATGCATAGTAGTCGACCGTGCTGCGCGATCTCATGTCGGAGTAGAGCACCTGGTCGGAGCCCAGGAGGCCCTTGCCGACCTGTAGGTTCCGGTAGAAGACGTTGTCGAAGCCCACCAGCGAGGGGTCGAGGAAGACGAAGGTGTTGGGGTCGGAGCTGCAGGTGCCGTTCAGCTGCGACGCGAAGCCGGGGTCCATGGTCGCGTCGCTGCCGATCCTCACCGACAGCAGGTCCCGTTCAATTGCAATTGAGGCTGGTCGGCTTCTGTCTGCGTCCAGGTCCTGCCGCGCCGTGGGCCTTGGCGCGTCAGTGCCGCTCCGTGGTCTATGGCGCGGCAGATCTTGCCACGTCGTCGGTCAGCGTCCCGTTTGTCGCCACGTCATTTCTCCGGCCGCGTCACCATGCATGGCGCGGCACAGGCGTTTCGCCGTGCTATGGCAATAGACACGGCTAAAAGTGTTAGTTTTGGAAGAAAAAAAATAAAACAACGTTAGACTTAAAATTAATTTAAAAAAGTGTTAAAAATAAAAAAAATCGCGAACGACGGATCGATGACAGGCGTCGCAGATGACAACTCCAACCGCTTTTGGCGGCACTCACGTAGTCACGATGTTCGAGTCGTAGCCTTTTCCTGCGTAATTTGCGGCGATAATGGGCTTTCTAGTCTATTGGATGAGCCAAGCCGGATGGAGAGCCAGGGAGCAAGCCGACGTGCCTCGCAGCAAATTTAGCCACGACCGCTTTTTGGCTGCTGTGGCCTGGTACAGGACGACTGCATCTATTTTTTTTTCCGTGTTTTATTTATGTTCCTCGCTGGCAAGAGAAGCGACGGACAGTTCATCTAGCAAAAGGGGACAGGAGGCCCACCCTTGATTATTGGAGATCCACGTACAGTCCCTGGTCGGCCGAAAGAATACCAAAAATTCTGTTGCCCGTATATATAGCATCTGCCTTGTAATCGGACGCAGATACGGTTCGTGATCAAAACGGAGAGATCATTCCAGCGGTTTATATATAAAAGAAGATCTTGCATTCTTGGTAGGACGCCGCACCGCAAAACAAACCATCATCCCCCGGACAAATCATCAGTAAAACATCACGAACCCATCTCTCAACCCACGGCGGATGGCGGCGGCGGCCTACCCTCCATGGGTAATGTTGGAGCACTCCTGCGCGCGGGAGGTCCAGGGCTGCTCCTCCTCCATTGCCGACACGAACACACTGGTGAGCTGCCGCACCACCAGCGGCCATCCCATCAACGTCTCGCTCTGCCTGGCGGCGCCCCCGGAGGGGTCGCGCGTATGCGTCCAGCTTCCCGCCGGCGTCGAGGTGGACTACGCCGTGGTCCTCGCGGCACACGGCGACTCCGTGGTCGTCCAGGTCGCGGGGATCACGAACCGCGGCGCGTTCTCCAGCACCAAGTCAACTGACCACTTCGTCTACAGCGCGGGCGACGCTGCCGCCGAACCCCCGCGGCCGCCGTCGCTGTCGCTGCTCCCGCCTCACTGCATCACCTATGAAGAAGACAAGCATCGTTATCTCCAGTGGCACTACCTGAGGCGTAGTCCCGAGTGTAACTGCCTGGATAGTGATAGCACATTAGCACCGGCCTCCTGCGCCATGGCGACGGCGATTTCTTGGTGGCGGAGCTCAAGATGGACTATGTGATGGAGGGGGAGGATCCGGGCAAAAGGCACAAGGAGGCCGCGCTCCACCTGCTCCGTTCCGGCTCTGGCGAGTGGTACGTCAAGCGGCCCGTGATCAGCCGCTATGCCGGCGGCAGTGAGTGTGTGGACCTGACGTCCTCGTGGCGAAACAGCATCGTTATCCCCGTCGGCGACCAGATGCTTTGCTGGGTCGACTTGGCGCGCGGCCTCCTCTTCTCGGACGGCGTGTTTGACGAGAGCCCCAGCCTGCGGTACGTGCCGCTCCCCATGGATCCCAATTTCCGCCATCCATCGTACCGGAATGTGTGTGTCACCGGCAACGGCAGCACGATAAAGTGTGTTAATGTCTTTCCCCGCTGCTGCTGCGGTGGCGCGGGCAAATCCTACTGCCGTGCTTCTCACCATGCATGCCTACGCCGTCCACACGTGGACGCTGAGGATGGACGACGGCATGGCCTGGGCAATGGATGGCACTCTCGACGCCGCACAGCTCTGGGCCCTCGATGGTTACAAGGGCCTCCCACGTGTCGAGCTGGACTACCCCGTCGTGAGCATGGACGAACCCGATGCCATCTGCTTCGTGGTGTGCGAGGATCATCATGAAAAACATGGTGACGAGACGACGTGGCGGATCATGGTCGATATGAAGAGCAAGACGCTTGGATCGGTCTTTCGCTACCCTGACCCCAAGGAACGGAGGTGCAATAGTTGGAAACATCTCGTTCCCAGCAGGGTCTCCAAATACTTCAACTCTAAACCAAGCAGCGGCCAGACACCAGGTCCAGCTGCACAAGCAGAAGCTATGCAAAACTTGATGAGCTCAAGGATTAACAATAAGCTGCAAGCAATGGACACCATGCAGGCAGCTTCACTGGAGGTGGCGACCTTGGCCGCGCTTCAAGAGATACCTGGCTTGGATCGTGATGATATGCTGAAGGCCTATCTCATTCTTATCTTACCCACGACGATAGTGGCCGCCGGTTCAGATCCCTTATGGGGCTGCCAATGGATTTGAGGAAGGATTGTGTGCTGATGGAGATCATGGCCAGTGAAGCTTGTGTTCTGTGCTCTGCATGCTCCGTGGACTTGCAACTAAAAGAATGAGCGCTAGAGACACACGAGGATCTTTTTTGCTTCCTTTTATGGCCTAAGTCGTGAGTTAAAACTCTGTTGTTTTTGTTTCTTTTGTGTATAGTAACATAGTAATTGGTCAATTTCTACTTGTGTTTCTTCGAATCCTATGTTTTTCTATACCTAGATAGCTAGAATATATCTTTTGAGGTATAATTGGTTTGGATGGTATGTTCTGTTGTTCAACTTTGGTAGCTATTTTTTTTCTTGGATCCAAATCAATTTTGTTTCCGCCAATCCTATCAACTGGTAATACCCTTTTTACCCTATCAATAGCCGATGACTTAGGGGTTGATTGACTTCTTGTTAGTAATCATGCACAAAGTAGTTATCAAATGCGTCATATATGCTAGAATTCTATGGCAAACTACATGTTGGTGTACGGAGGCGTATGCTTGTTTGCTGAAATTTCATCAATACAGTTCGAGTTAGACAAATCATGATTGTTATATTTGCATATGTTGCTGAATTTGTAGTTGCAACCTCCACAGCGTACAAGGATTGAGAGTAATTGACTAGATAATTAGCATCAACATAGCAAATTCTCTCATTCATCGGCATATTTTGTGGTGAAACCACATATTGTGAATTTGCTGCTGATGATTAAAGTGTGAATCATCACGTTGCATGTTAGCATAATTTCTCACATGTGAGGCCTCATAAGGATTGGCCAAACTCATCAAGTTAGTTTTCACTAGTAGAGAAACGACTTTTGATCCACTTCGAAATTTGGCTTTAGTCCCGGTATTTTTTGCGCCCGGGACTAGAGAAACCTTTAGTCCCGGTTGGTATCTCCAACCGGGACTAAAGGTCCTCGCCTAACGGCTCATCGCGCTCGGCACGATATAGGAGACCTTTAGTCCCGGTTGGAGACACCAACCGGGACTAAAGTGGATTTTTTACTCCCGGTTGGAGCCACCAACCGGGACTAAAAGTCCTCTAAGTTTTAGTGCATTTATTGCCGTGCTTTATGAGCTGATGACCAGCACTGAACTTTTAGTCCCGGTGCTTTACTTGTACCTGCTTGCATTTACAAGCTGATGACCAGCACTGAACTTTTAGTCCCGGTGCTTTACTTGTACCTGCTTGCATTTACGAGATTTAGTCCCGGCTTGCATTTACCTGCTTGCATTTACGAGCTTTAGTCCCGGCTTGCATTTACCCGCTTGCATTTATTGTCGACATCGAAAATGAAGACCTTTAGTCCCGGTGGTATTTGAGCCGGGACTAAAGGTATACTTTTAGTACCTTTAGTCCCGGCTGGTATTATCGGCCGGGACTAAATCTTTAGTCCAGGCGTTCTGAAGCCTCGATGGGCCGGCCAAGATCGCATAATATGCTGGAATTGCTGGCGATCCCCCACCTATTAGCACCACCTCGCTTGCTCAGAAGAGTGAAAGCTAACTTAAAAGCTCAGCTCTCGAACCAAGCAGCACGAACTTGAACAGGATTGTACCGCTGATCCTTGACTAAAGATCCTTTGTACTATAGTTTATATAAAATGTTGAACATTATAAACGTACGTATATTCTAGCAGCGTAGAATGCGTATTCAAAAACCAAAACGAATCATCAATTAAAAATAGGAAAAAAAGGAAAATAGAAATAGAAATAAAAAAACCTGGTAGCAGCGTGAAAATAGAAAAAAAAGAAAAATAGAAATAGAAACAAAAAAAAAAAGAAAAAAAAACCTTTAGCCCCGTTTGGGGTTACCAACCGGGACTAAAGAGTGCTGGCCTCGTGGCATGTCAGAAGGCACCTTTAGTCCCGGTTGGTGTTACCCACTGGGACTAAAGGACCCCCTTTAGTCCCGGTTCCTGACCCGGGACTAAAGGACCCCCTTTAGTCCCGGATGCTTGCTCCCGGGTGGGGAACCGGGACTAGAGGGGTTTCCCCATCGGGAGTAAAGCCCGTCTCTGTACCAGTGTTTGCCATCATAATTGTCCATCAACATATGAACTTGTTCCACTGCCGATGCATGAGAATATGCATTAAGAGTTAAAGTATGTGTAGGTTGACATTGTCTCTCACATATGATAACCAGAATTATAATTTGCATGATGACAACCACTAGCAGAAAATATATCAGCTGATGCAATGCAACATGCATGCCTATTATCATTATGACTAGCAACACCAGCACTATAATTCACGGAACTTACTTGCAAGTTGGACCTCGGGCTTGATGTAATAGTATACTTCATAGCAGCACCTTGGTACGCCATGATCAATGACAGGAATTTGATCCCCTAATTGCTTTTTGCTGATCTCCACAGTAACGATAGTAGAACGTAGCATAACAGGTCAATAGTGAGTAAAACTATAGATGACCAATACCAGATGTGATTGACCTTTGTTGCTAGATGCAATGGTAGTGGCGAACACAAGAGAGATAGATCAATCAAAAAAATTCAGCTATGAGATAAAGCCGAAACAATCGTTCCCTAGCGAAGTCATCAAAAAGTGTGTTGATGCGAATATTTGTCGCACACCTAAAGTGCTAGAATGCACAGATCTCGGATCAGGGAACCTGAGACAAAATTGTATGCATCGAACCATCCAGCGTCGGTGTAGACACGTGCATTGGACAATCACAACACCACGCTGGAGCATGTACATTCAATGAAAATATATGCACCGGACCGTTCGACGGTGGCAATATTGCACAGGCTAGAGAATCAAACACAGCTACACTGGAGCCAAGTAGGTCTAGCCAGTGGCGGAGCCAAGATGAGCACCTCGGGGGGGGGCTAATCAATAGAGATTTAGAACAAATGTCGAAGATTAACGGTGAAATCACGTTTTTTTTTCTATAGTAATAACAAGCCAAAATTACTCTCACGGGGCTGCAGCCCCCCCGTGGATCCGCCAATGGGTCTAGCCAACCTAGGCCTGCAAGAGGCTCCACAACAAAGAATGCATCGGGTATGAGCCAAGTAGGTCTAACCGACCTAGGCCTGCAAGAGGCAAGGAAAGGCAGATCTAAAATCTCATGGGTCTTCGCCCAAGGAACGATAGCAAATCATGCTTACATGGTGAAGAATGATAAGATTTAGGAGCAAACCAGCAAAGAGAAACTATCGCAATTATACGATGAAGAATGGTTAAGTTCTGGACAAACTAGCAAAATAAAGAACCATAGAAACTCTAGCCCAGGATGGACCAGTAGCTAGGAGTACATTGTGACTAAACACCTTCTCCACCTCAGTCCTTGCCCACTCCATCCTACCCCACCTTCTTTACTGATCCACATGACCTCGGTCAGTTACCCCAAATCCGGGCGCCTTTAACCGCCGCTGCTTCTTGACCTACTCCTGGATTGTGCCTCCATCACCATCCGACCGCCTTCAAGTCCAGCGTGCTTTTTTGTTGTGTATCACATGAACAAGTATAGAGCACATTGAACATAATCATATATAATATATAATATTCTCATCATTAACTCAACCAAAAAAAACATATTACATGTATAGTCATTATATATCACCCATATTAAAACTGATCTCCACATAGAAATGTTCCAAGTCCAAAAAGTAATGCTAGTATATACATATACAAGTACTAACATAAATATAAGCTAACGCTTTTTAGATAAAGAAAATGAATCCAGGTTCATCTCTTGTGACAATGAGAATTAAACAAATTACTGTTATACAAAAGAAACAAAAACAAAGAGTATAACTCAAAACTTATTAGGCCATAGACGGAAGTAAAAAAGTTCATTGATGCTGTCTCTTGTGCTCATTCTTTTATTTGCAGGTCTGCTGAGCATGCAGAGCACAAAACACAAGCTTCACTGGCTTTGATCTCCATCAGCACACAATCCTTCCTCAAATCCATTGGCAGCCCTATAAGAGCTCTGAACCGGCGTCCACTATCGTCATGTGTAGGAATCCGATAGGCTTTCAGCAATTCATCACGATCCAAGCTAGGTATCTCTTGAAGAGCGGTCAAGATCGCCGTATCCGGTGAAGGTGAAGCTGCCTGCATAGTGCTGTTGATTGCTTGCAGCTTATTATTGATCCTTCTCTTCCTCAAGTTTAGCATAGCTTCTGTTTGTGCAGCTGGACCTGGCTGGCCCGTGCTTGGTTTAGAGTTGAAGTATTTGGAGACTCTGCTGGGCAAGGGACGGCCCCATCTACTGCACCTCCGCCCTTCGGGGTAGCGAAAGACCGATCCAAGCGTCTTGCTCTTCATATCGACCATGATCCACCACATTGTCTCGTCGCCATGTTTTTCTTGATGTCTCTCGCACACCACGAAGCAGATGGCATCGGTTTTGTCCATGCTCATGACGGGGCTGTCCAGCTCGACGCGTGGGAGGCCCTTGTAGCCGTCGAGGGCCCAGAGCTGGGTGGCGTCGAGACTGCCGTCCATCACCCAGGCAATGTCGACGTCCATCCTCAGCGTCCAGGTGTGGATGGCGTAGGCATGGTGAGAAGCACGGCACTTGGATTTGCCGGCGCCACCGCAGCAGCAACGGGGAAAGACGTTGACGAACTTTATCGTGCAGCCGTCGGCGGTGACACACACACTCCGCAGGCTGAGATCGGCATCCTCGGGGAGCGGCTTGTACCACAGGCTGGGGCTCTCGTCGAACACGTCGTCGGAGAAGAGGAGGCCGCGCGCCAAGTCGACCCAGAAGAGCAGCTGGTTGCCGACGGGTATAACCAAGTTGTTTCGCCACGAGGACGCCATGTCGTCCATACATTCACCGGCGTCGGCGTACCAGCTGATCACAGGCCGCTTGACACGCCACTCGCAGGAGCCAGACCGGAGCAGGTGGAGCTCCTTGTGCACCTTGTCGTCCCTTTCCTTCACGTACTCCATCTTGAGCTCCGCCACCAAGAAATCGCCCTCGCCACGGCGCAGGAGGCCGCTGCTGTCAGGGTCCAGGTAGTGACATCCGGGCGCCTCTCCTCGTCTTCATAAGTGATGGAGTGAGGCGGGAGCAAAGACAGCGACGGCGGGCGCGGGGGCTCAGCGGCCGCGTCGCCCGCTTCCATTTTTTCGTTGAGATGGGCTTCGTGATCCTATATAGACCTATACCAATAGATTCTCCCCTATTTCTATAGCGAAGTAAAATACACCACGTCGTAAACTCTATGACATGGTGTCACAACTTTTATTTTTTGACTTCTCGACCCGTTCCGGGTCCTATTATAGATACACCTACTCTCTATTATACGTGACATGACGGTTTATTGTTGACCTGTATCTAATAGGTGGGATCCATTTGTCGGTCCTACCCCTCCACTTTATGTCTCTCTCCTGAACTTCTCTCTCTTCCCTGCTCGCCCGGCGCCATCATCGCCTAGGTCCGAAGCACAGAGGTGTCACCCTAGTGCATATTTGGATCGAGGGATGATTTGGAAAAGGAAAAAGACCATTAAGGTTCAAATTTGAGACATCACAAACGCATTAGACTCATCCTGTTGGGACTTGGGACTACCTCATACTCCTTTCATCCTTTTTAACGTGTGAAAAAATCGTTTGAAAAAATTGAATTTTAAATATAAGAATTTAAATGTAATTTTCGTTGGATAGATGATTTTAAATGAAAAAGTTATCAACTACAAAGTTGCATAACTTTTTGAGATCCTATAACTTCTATTTTGGTCACTTCTCCATCCGAGATCCTTAACTACCACTACAACTCACTTATCATTATAGAGCATATGGATTCCTTTGGTATTAACTTCTATAAAATCATGTGAATCAAATATTTCAATATCAAAATGACTTCAAATAAAAAACTTATGAACTACAAAGTTGTCTAAATTTTCGATATCAACAACTTTTGTTTTGGTTATTTTTCCATCCGATGTATTTTCCTATCACTACACACTCACTTGTGACTATAGAACATATGGACTCCTTTGGTAATCTTAGTAATAGAACTATTAAGTAATCCTACTAGGAAATCTCATTGTAAACCGAGTTAGGACTCGGCCTCGACTATATAAAGGAGGCGGGGCTCTGCTAAAATGGGAAGAAGAACAATTGTACAACATAACACTTCATAATCAATCCAAGCAAGAAAATCTAAGCTAGGATTCTTCCCATGTAATCTTGGGCGTATTAAGTCGTTACTCGATCTCGATCGAGGGCTAAAGGAGGGCAGGGCTTTCGAAAGGATAAATCAATTGTCTCTTGCGTTTACCAGCGCCGAGTTCGACATCTGTCGAAGGGCCGAAGCCAGATAAATCGAATCTCTTGTGTTTACCATCGGTACCCGTGGCCGGCGATATCGGCACGGTATCGATGGCTATCGATGTGGTAAAACATCGACAATTTGTGGCGCGCCCGGTAGGGAGCCTTGACTGACTTTGCATCCGAGACCTCGATGGACCTCAATAACATGATCTTCAAGCGGGATCGATTTTCATCTTGACTCGTGGATCTGCGAGGCGGACAACTTCTGACAAGCTTCAAAGCCATCTCCTCAAAGATCCGGATCATCATGAAGAATCCTCTATTTCGACAACTTCTGACGGATCAGCTCACGGAAGATTATGTGACCCATAATACCCGATTCGAATAAGATTCCACGGCTACGCATCCGACTCGAATTCAAGCTCCGTATCCGAGATGAAGTCCTATTCGAGTGCTTTCAAGAAGTCAAGTTCCTTTTGGCAAGATTCGAGCACAACCCAAAACAACTCGGATTACCCTCGGAATTCTTTCAAAAGGCGAGTTCTTTTCCATTTGGGCTCGACAACACGACAAAATCCTATCGGGGGACAGTTTGAAAGGTCTTTCAAATCAACACTTGGGATACCAGCAGCGGGGAGCTCGGGGAGGGTCTCGTACTAACGATAACATCGCAAGGCTGTATCATCCTTTGGCGAGGATCCGTTCACGAGGATAAGCGGAACCCAACTAGTCGGCACAACAACAACAGCTATTCTACCTTACCAAGAGGAGACTCAATCTGACGTCGAGGCGCATCTGAAGAAGTCATCGGCAACTCAAGCGGTATGAAAACTAACAACAATAACGGAGCGGCTCACGCGCGCGGGAAGTGCTCATGGTTCGGCGTCCTCGGTCACCATTAAACCCCGAAGCACCCGATGTCGAGGTCATCGGATGAATCGAGAATCAACATATCACCCTTTGCTCAGGGCTACGATGGAGAAACCGAGAGTCGAGGCGAGGCTAGAAAGAAAAAAACAAGTTGAAACAAGGCGCTTGACAGCGCTCGGCAATGATAGAAGCTGGACGGATCTGAGTCGAATTGGTGAATCGACAAAAGAAAATCACAACAAGAGGCGAAGAGGCGCACACGGTGAGTCGCCTTACGATAAGATTCGAGAAGCATTAGAAGAACTCGAGGGCAACTTCACATCACGGAGAAATACGAACAGCTCAGGACTTGCTCCGGTCAGCGATCCCAAACGCATGAAGAGAACCCGATCAAGACTACCGCGGATCAACAACCCATGAGAGCAAGAAGATCAAAATCAAAGGAAGTCCGCTTTTGAAAGACTTGGACGGCGGAAGCCATAACGGAGAAAGTAGGAGGAACATAGTCGGGGCCATCAATTTGAACAACCAAGGAAGACCGGGAGTAGAGGGCCTACCAGACTGACCTCGAAATTATTCCCATCAAAACAACACTTGGCGGAAGAAGGGCGAATCCGAATTCAAGGAAGCGGAGCGCATAATGATTCCCTGTTTTGCAAGCAGGTTGGCATCGATCTACGATTACCTCACAAATTCAAACCGTCTAATCACTCCAAGTATGATGGCAAAACCGAACCAAGACAATGGCTCGAGAATATATTCACAATCAATTGAACTAAGCGGAGGAGGCGATGATATCAAAACCTTGTTCTTTCCCATGGCCTTTGGGCGATGCCCCTCAATGGTTCGATAAATTGAACCCGGGATCGATCGAACTTGGGAAGACTTGCAAAAACTTTACTGTGAAAATTTCGCGGTATCATCACACACCGATCACTCATGCGGCCCTGAAAGGACTCAAGCAAAAAAAGGCGAAAGTCGAGAAATTACTATCGGCGATTCGGTGAACTACGGGCTCAAGTGCATGACATCACCGAGCGAGAAGTAATTGAAGCTTTCTCTCACGGAATCATGGCTAGGTGGCAATTTCAAGACTTACGCAAAGAAAATCAGAAACAATGAAGAATTGAGACGAGCGAGTAGAAAAAATGATTATTGCTGCGGAAGAAAAAACACGAGAAAGGTTCCGGATAGAAGCAACCAAGACAACCGGATAGGCAAAATCATCGAAATAGCGGACATCAAGAAAGAAAGCGTGAGACCGGACAATACCGTGGCAATGGCCGACAAATCAAAAAGTTTTCCAAACCCGGAAGATATGATGACATTGAAAACATCGTTTGCGTTATTACCCTAACGGGAGACACACCATCGGAAGCGCTACACTTTCAATGATCGATACGAGAAAAGATAGTAAGGAGAACAAAAAGAGGACAATCACAAGAAAGATGAAGACAACCACGAGGACAAAAGTTTCAAAACCCGGAGGCAGTAGCGATGATCTTCTCGGGGCCCCAGTTGCACAAGCAAGCGTCAAGAAAAACTAGCACTACGGACTATCATCATGCGGCGAGAACCGGCTACACCAAGATATCTCAATTGGTCACAATATCAATCCAATTTTCAAGAAGACCAATGGACTAAGCGTAGGGAGCGCGAGGCCATTACCCACTAGTCTTAGACCCAACTATTGCGGTATGATTTGTCACCAAAGTACTAATTGATGGGGGGCTGGACTCAACATCATCTTTTGAAACACTAAGGAAGATGGGACTACAACTCATTTGGGATGATTACACCAACAAGCACCCCCTTTTACGGAATAGTACCCGCAAAGCAGCCATGCCACTCGGACAAGTTACTTTACCGTCACTTTTGGAACTCCTGCGAACTATCGAGCGAGTTTATCAAATTTGAGGTCATGAGACTTGATTAAATCATATCATGCGATCCTCGGACGCTTGACCTTTGGCAAAATTCATGGCAATACCACATTATCCGTACTTATTGCTTAAGATGCGAGGACCCAGCGGTATCCTTTCTCTTGAAGCGATTTGAAGCGTGCTTTTGGCTTTCTGACGTTCGGGCAATCAAATTGCGCGGCAAAAGCACGAGCCGACAATGGGAGAAAACAAATAGCCACAATTGCTGCGGAGATAAGCCAAGAAGAATTAGAAATACCGGCTAAAAAGCCCGGCATCATCACACCACCAAAAAAAAGCCGGCGTCAAGCAAATCGATTTGGGCTTTGGCGATACCTCCAAGGCGGCAACCATCGGTGCTCACCTCTCGGCAAAATAGGAACTCGCGCTCACCAACTTTCTTTGGGACAACAAAGATATCTTCGCTTGGAAGCCGGCCGACATGCCAGGTGTCCCAAGAGAGTTGGGTGACCACAATTGATGTTAATGAAAACTCCAAGCCTATAAAAAAGCAGCAGCTCTGACGATTCTCACCCGACAAAAAGCGCGATTAAAAAGAAATCACAAAAGCGATGGCGGCCGGATTCATCGGAGAAATCCTTCATCCGGATGGCTAGCAAACCGGTCCTTGTGCAAAAGAAGAACACAGACGAGTGGCGTGTAATGCGTCGACTACTACGGATCTCAACAAACATTGCCCAAAAGATCCATTGGGCTACTGCGCATTGACGGATAGTCGACTCAACGGTGAAGTGCGCACTATTATCCTTTCTCGATTGCTATTGAGGGTATCACAGATTGCATTAAAGAACAAGACGAGCAAGACTTCTTTTATTACTCCGTTCGGTGCTTCTTTTGTTACAAGACCATGTCGTTTGGACT